AAGTAGCCCTCTTTTTTTTTTCTAAGCTACTTTTTGCACGTCAGTTAACACAGCGTAAAGGTAGCCTACGCTTGCAGGGTAGTGTTTTAATCTCTGTACATATAGGCGATTATAGTGTTCATAACCAAAGACCTGTTTGCTTCCTTGTCAGATATCAAGTGCCGTTCAGAATCAGGATTTCACACTGATTGATGATTATACCACGGGACTGAAGTGTTTGCTTTATCTCCAATCTGTTCATGAGCTCTCAGACTGGAATGGGCAAAGTCCTCCTACTCCTAAACATCAAAAAGGCAAACTTGTTCCTAAAATCGCTGAACTTGTTGGAAAGGTATGCTTTCTTCATGCAATTTACTTCTGTTTAAAATTAGTCATATATTTGTGTTTTTAAGGGCGATAAATCATACCATGTTTTCTTGTTTCTAAAATATACAAATGACCCTCTTTTTTAATATCTGGCCCTGCAAAATAAGGACCTCTTTAAGGCACAGAATTTTTCTAACCACGGTTGAATGATGGTACATCCTGTTTTTAGACATAAGATAAAAGAACCGCATTCAACTGATCTAGCTAATCTACAGGTGCTTCCCTCAAATGATTTTAACAAATCAGAACACAACTGGCAGCCTGTCAGAGGGCAACCAGGGGTCAATTTAACTCGTTTAAATTAATTGTAAAATTCTAGTGTAACTGTTGTTTTAGGGTCGGAGAGCAATAGCGACTCTCCTATATTAAGCATGTTAAAGCGCATTGAATTGAACCCAGGGCCAAATTCAACAAAACGTTTTCAAGCGTAGTGTACAAGAGATTACAGTCAAGCCAAGATTCCATTAATGAATTTATTCGAAAGTTGAATCCGTTGGTAGTTGTAGATTTCAGATTCATCTCTGCATTCTTGTATGCGTAATGAGCCGTGATTCACACCAGGGGCAGTTACGACATTTGTACCAGCTCAGTTTCCCTGAATTTGATGTGAATGTCTTCTGAGAAAATTAATCCATTCAAAGATTTTTTTATCTTACCAGATACAGTGAAGTTCTCGTAAAATATTCACTGCTCATTACGCATGCAGGAATGCCGATTTGAATTTGACACAAGTTACGGGAACGACTAACGGATTCATTTTTCAAGTAATCAATTCATTAATAGAATCTTAGGGAGTACGCTTGACCTGCCTTGACTGGAAGGGGAAGAGAGAATGATTATAAAAGTCAAGGAGGCAATGCCTCTTTTTCGTCCAAACTCTTAACATTTTGCTTTCTGTGCATACCTAAACTTACCGAAGACATGAATATACTGAATATATGTCTGTGTTTCTTGCAGTCTCTGCCCAGTTTTGGACCATACCTTAAAGAAAGAGAAAGTATTGTGGCAAAGCATAAAGAGAAGATCGATTTGTTGAGTGAAAAATTTGAGCCAGAGAAGGTCAGACCTGCCTATAAACCAGAGAAGGCGGCTCCGCTTATTAAGGTAATACAAAGTAGTGTAGGTTTCGTAGCAGATGCACGAGAAATTAATGTTGCAAACAAGAACGGAGGAGAGAGTAGGATGCGCATGTCCCCCTCTCTCGCACGTCTTGTATAATTTGCACCTAACATTTCTCATGTGCCTGCCAGACAGGCTAAAAAAATGTTACATCGCTCATAAGTGTATCACCTAGTAATACCAAATGGCCTTCTAAGCTTACCTGTCATGAAGCACATAATGGTTTGTAACGATATAAGAGTATTATAAATCTTGAGATTCTAAGACGAGTACGACAACGAGTACGAGATTTTCTCAGCAGTAAATAGGGCTTGCGCGTGAACCAGCATCATTTTGGCGGGAAAACGTGATAGCCGTCTTCACTCTACTGCGAGGCTTAGCGAGAATAGGAACCTTACGAAACAACGACGGCGACGGCAACGGGAACGTCAAAAAAGCAAAAAATTTAATGAGCAAAACAACAACTCTGACGTGCATCACACTTTTTTGTACATTTCTTTGCCGTCCTGCACAACTACAACGTGAAATGACTAAATTTTGAGTTGACTTGAGAACGGGAACGGCAAGGCGATATATTTAACTTTCTCTCTCTAATTTCGGACGCAGTCCCCTCTCTTCGGTTCCAACCTAACTTCTCTCCTTTCAAGTAACTAGGTAACTTGGTAAATGGGCGAAAAAGTTTTAAAGGACGCGAAGTCTATTTGTCAGCAACGTTTTCATTGGCGCCGCCGTTGTTGTATCGTATTAAAGGTCACTAATGTCGAAGTGGCGTAAATAAGTTATCAAATTTTAGAAGTTTTATCATTTTGCGATCGGGAGAGCGTGTAACCTTCTTCACCAAAGGTAACAGTGCTAAATTTTCTAGTGAAAAATGGTAAAATGAAGCTTTCCGGGAAGTCTATAGTTTGAGAATACGCGAAAAAACTTTAAGTCAAATCTCGTACTCATAGTCGTCCTCGTCCTTGAATCAAAAGATCTCAATTCACTTCTTTTAAATCATGTTAACAGGATGTCATTGGTGCAGCTCTGAGTCGTATTGGAACTTATGGTGACTTGGATAATAGGCAGCAAGTTGTGGCTTTGATTGATGAAGACTTGTGCATTAACTGCGGCAAGTGCTACATGACCTGTAATGACTGTGGTTATCAAGCCATTACCTTTGATGCCAATACCCACCTGCCTCATGTGACTGATGGACTGAAGTGTTTGCTTTATCTCCAATCTGTTCATGAGCTCTCAGACTGGAATGGGCAAAGTCCTCCTACTCCTAAACATCAAAAAGGCAAACTTGTTCCTAAAATCGCTGAACTTGTTGGAAAGGTATGTTTTCTTCATGCAATTTACTTCTGTTTAAAATTAGTCATATATTTGTGTTTTTAAGGTCGATAAATCATACCATGTTTTCTTGTTTCTAAAATATACAAATGACTCTCTTTTTTAATATCTGGCCCTGCATAATAAGGACCTCTTTAAGGCACAGAATTTTTCTAACCACGGGTGAATGATGGTACATCCTGTTTTTAGACATAAGATAAAAGAACCGCACTCAACTGATCTAGCTAATCTACAGGTGCTTCCCTCAAATGATTTTAACAAATCAGAACACAACTGGCAGCCTGTCAGGAGGCAAGCAGGGGTCAATTTAACTCGTTTTAATTAATTGTAATATTCTAGTGTAACTGTTGTTTTAGGGTCGGAGAGCAATAGCGACTCTCCTATATTAAGCATGTTAAAGCGCATTGAATTGAACCCAGGGCTAAATTGAACAAAACGTTTTCAAGCGTAGTGTACAAGAGATTACAGTCAAGCCAGGTCAAGCGTACCCCCAGGATTCCATTAATGAATTTATTATTCGAAAGTTGAATCCGTCGGTAGTTGTAGATTTCAGATTCATCTCTTGCATGCGTAATGAGCCGTGAATTCACGCGCGGGGCAATTACGACATTTCTACCAGCTCAGTTTTCCTGAATTTGATGTGAATGTCTTCTAAGAAAATTAATCCATTCAAAGATTTTTTTATCTTACCAGATACAGAGAAGTTCTCGTAAAATATTCACTGCTCATTATGTATGCAGGAATGCCGATTTGAATTTGACACTAGTTACGGGAACGACTAACGGATTCATTTTTCAAGTAATCAAATGAATTCATTAATAGAATCTTGGGGGGTACGCTTCACCTGCCTTGACTGGAACGGGAAGGGAGAATGATTATAAAAGTCAAGGAGGCAATGCCTCTTTTTTGTCCAAACTCCTAACATTTTGCCTTGTGCGCATACCTGAACTTACCGAATACATGAATATACTGAATATATGTGTGTTTTTCTTGCAGTCTCTGCCCAGTTTTGGACCATACCTTAAGGAACGAGAAAGTATTGTGGCAAAGCATAAAGAGAAGATCGATTTGCTGAGTGAAAAATTTGAGCCAGAGAAGGTCAGACCTGCCTATAAACCAGACAAGGCGGCTCCGCTTATTAAGGTAATACAAAGTAATGTAGGTATCGTAGCAGACTCACGAGAAATTAATGTTGCAAACAAGAACGGAGGGGAGAGTAGGATGCGCATGTCCTCCTCTCTCGCGCGTCTTGTATAACTTGCACCTAACATTTCTATGTGCCTGCCACACAGGCTAAAATAATCAAGTTACATCGCTCATTAAGTGTATCACCTAGTAATACCAAATGGCCTTCTAAGCTTACCTGTCATGAAGCACATTATGATTTGTAATGATATAAAAGTATTGTAAATCTGTGATTAAATTTATGTTTAGATTCTAAGACGTGTACGACAACGAGTACGAGATTTTCTCAGCACTAAATAGCGCTTGCGCGTGAACCAGCATCATTTTGGCGGGAAAACATGGTAGCCGTCGTCAGTCTTCTACGAGTCTTAGCGAGAATAGGGACCTTACGAAACAACGACGGCGACGGCAACGGGAACGTCAAAAAAGCAAAAATTTAATGAGCAAAACAACAACTCTGACGTGCATCCCACTTTTTTGTACATTTCCTCGCCGTCTCTGCATAACTGCAACGTGAAATGACTAAATTTTGAGTTGACTTGAGAACGGGAACGGCAAGGCGATAAATTTTATTTTCTCTCTCTAAACTCGGACGCAGTCCTCTCTCTTCGGTTCCAACCTAACTTCCCTCCTTTCAAGTAACTGGGTGACTTGGTAAAAGGGCGAAAAGGTTTTAAAGGACGCGAAGTCTATTTGGCAGCAACGTTTTCATTGGCGCCGCCGTTGTTGGTTCGTAAGGTCCCTAATGTCGAAGTGGCGTAAATAAGTTATCAAATGTTAGAAGTTTTATCATTTTGCGATCGGGGGCCAGAGGGTGTACCCTCCTTCACCAAAGGTAACAGTGCTAAATTTTCTAATGAAAAATGGTAAAATGAAGCTTTCCGGGGAGTCTATATTTTGAGAATACGCGAAAAAAACTTGAAGTCAAATCTCGTACTCATAGTCGTCCTCGAATCTAAAGCTCTCTATTCACTTCTTTTAAATCATGTTAATAGGATGTCATTGGTGCAGCCCTGAGTCGTATTGGAACTTATGGTGACTTGGATAACAGGCAGCAAGTTGTGGCTTTGATTGATGAAGACTTGTGCATTAACTGCGGCAAGTGCTACATGACCTGTAATGACTGTGGTTATCAAGCCATTACCTTTGATGCCAATACCCACCTGCCTCATGTGACTGAGGACTGTACTGGATGTACTTTGTGCTTTTCAGTTTGTCCTGTTATTGGTTAGTAGTATGAAATGCCCAGTGTGAATCAGTCAGTCAATCCTCTTAATGGATCCTTCCTATGTTGTGCACTAAAATCGGTCCCTATCATTTTTCAGTATTTTTTGTTGTCTTTCTATAAGGTGGACAGTTCTCAAGAGGGAGACTTAGGGTGCTTTTCATCTAGGCAAATTTAGCTTTGAACGTGAGTGAAGAATTGTTTTTCTTTCTTCTGGAAACGTCCGGGAGAAGAGGGAAAAAAAAATACCATTCCATCGACACATTTCTCGTGTTCTATGCCAGTTAGAAGCCCACGGCTATAAATTGACTCGACAGTTTCGTAAGCAAAATGGTCTCCAATGGTATTGTGTACAAATGATCGTTGCATTCATTTCTCTTTCTTATCGGTTGAATACAACAGAAAATTTAATGGAAGTGCAAACTGCTAATAACCTTCCTTTGGAATTTGTGTAATCATATTTAAGTTATCTTATTATATTGAGGTTGCCTGTGCTTTCATGGCGATCTTCAGCTGTTGTTATCCAATGCTGTGCTTTCTTCTGGGGACCAGACGATATATGTGACAAAATGGATGAAAAATTTCCCAGACAAATTCCGGCTGAAATTGCCCGAATTTTCTTCTAGATCGAAAGCGCCCTTACTGTCGTGTCAGTCCTAATCATTCCTTTGGCAAATCCGTTTGTAGTCCTAATGATATGATCATGGTCGAAAACCCTATTCAAGCTCTATTGTTTTGCAATATAGGGATTTAAAATTACGTTTATGGCAAGCGGCAAACTCAACTTAGGAAATGGGTGGATTTATAACTGTAGAAGCTAATTCTTATGGATGAAACTAGTCTGAAACTACCCATTTCCGGGTAGATAAAGTGAATAGTGAACAACGTGTACGACAAAACCTGTTCATGGGGTAGCAGTACAAATGGATGTCTTCTGTTTGCCGTAAACGTGATTCTAAATCTCCGTTTAGCCTAACTTAGTAGTTAACAGGGATCATCGGTAAGTTATTTGATTTAGACCACTTAATCAAACAGTGTGGGATTATTATTAAAGAAATAAGTAGGAGATGGAACTTTGCAGTTCGCCCTGTCATCAATCTGTCATCAGCCAGACTATTCTCAAAACCATGCTCGAGACAAACTGAGGAGAGCTTATGGTGGTTAATAAAGTTCTGAGGCAGTGAAATCCAGGGTGCCCGGCATACGCATTTTCTGCGAAAACTTGAAGACTTCCATGTTACCCAAGGGCAAAAAATGAGAACATCAAGCCCTGTTAGAGTACAGCACTGAGTACTTCGACTTTGAGTTTCTTCACCTTTTATTTGCTGGTGGGGAGCAATGGTGTTACATTGGTGAGAGCGCTTTCCTCCTACCAATTTGGTCTGGGTTCATATCCCGGCGTCGATGCCTTGTGTGGCTGGGTTGAATTTATTAATGGTTCTCTCCCCCGCGTCGAGAGGTTTTTCTTCTTAGGATTTCCCCTCTCCTCAACTGACACCAATTTTTTATTCCAATTCAACCAGGAATGGTAGAGAAAGAACCTTTCCGTGAATGTGAATGTGCTATTGCGTAATCGTTTTTTAGTTATTTTTTTTTGTTGCCTTGTAGATTGTATCAAGATGGTACCAAGGGAGGGACCATACAAGCCCAGCCGTGGGGTCCCGCTTGCTGTCAAAGCTGAGGCGTAAGCTAATGACCTGTTATCTTCTGCATTGTTGTGGGGGGAGGGGTTTTGTGATTCACATGATCATGAAAACCAAGACGTTACTTTATTCTCTGTAATGATCTGGGTGTTTCAAACTGGTGGTTAAAAAGATTATGATCAACACTTCATGTAAATTAATATATAATAATGATTACATAATTACCGGTATATTTTAATCAATCGTGATAATGTTTTACATAATTCTCCTCAAACAACAATATACACTATCCAATGTACACAAGCAAGTCTCAATCTAAAAATTATTATTTAATGTGAGAAATGTGATGGAGAGGTTCTTGTGTGACGTAAGGCAAGGTGAACACAGTGTGTATTGGGCATCAGTACAAACCCGTATGTACCTAGATCTCTTGTTCTTCTATGTGATACTCAGAAATATTTCTTTATTGGATGTGATCGTAGTTACTGACAGGGTTTTACTGCATATCTAATGCATTCGTATTTTTCTAGTTGATATTTATGGATTGACTGGATTTATGTAGAAATTTTTTTAGTGGTAAATTTTTAGCCTATTAAATGTACTTACCCAGGAGGTCATGTCAATTTATTTTTGTAATGATAAGGTGCAGTGAGTAAATAAAGTGCATGTTTTAGAGTTTACTGTCAATTTCTTTTAAAATACTTGTTTTAGCCGTAAAATTAAGGAGTTCAGAATTTATAAATTTTGTTCAGCACAGCAGCATCCACACGTTACATCCATACATTACTCTTGTTTTAATCTCTCTATAGAAACTTTTTCCACAAGGGAAATGGCTACCAAAATGAATAAGAAATACAACTGTCTCGCGATTGACCTGCACCCATTCAAACCTGTTATTTCATTGGTCCCTATAACCTGCACTACCTATTGTTTTCAGGGATAGGGCCATTGTTATATCACCATCCCTATTGTTTTCCCAGCCAATCACAAACCTTTGTTTGGAATAGATGCAGGTCGGCTCCTGTCCCGCCCTATCTCTCCCCAGTCCTCACTCTTTATTGTTTGGCTCTTCCGGACTATTAAACTGTCGGTGTGGCAGGCTAAACGCTGATATATATATATATATATATATATATATATATATATATATATATATATATATATATATATATATATATAAACAAACTAATAACTGTACGTAGTAAACCTGCTTTAACATTTTTATTCTGAACTTTTGTTCTATTTTGTTGACATATTTCATTGTGTTACATTAATTCAATTAATAATTGAGAAAAAACATTTTATTAAAAATAGAAATGTTCTACCCACCCCTACCGAAAGAACTGGTTTGATATTACACGGTACGGCCAACTCTCTAACGTGGCCATCATAGTACAGAGCAGTTAGACTGTGTTGATCGGTCATTGAAAGGATAAAGGCAGAAAAAAATCAGTTGCATTTGGCTTGACAGTACCCATCTTAATGAGCAGTTTGGCTGTTTCCAGGGGCGTACGCACGTATGCCTTTTCTTACCCTTCTTGTTATAGTGCAAAATCATAGTTGTTTACCATTTACAAGGGCAAACTGGTCGGTGCACAGTTTGAGCAAATAGTAGGCAAAATTTAGGACTGGCAATTTTCTTCCTGAAATGGCGTTTACCATTAATTTTGTACAGATCAGTTGCATTTATCGCAAAAATCTGAAACTGGTATAAAAGATGGCTTTAAAGAGATAGAACATGAATTCAGTTCCGTTTGGAACATTCTGTCTGGAAAAACATGATTGCCTTTTCAGATGTTCCGTTGCCCGTGGAAAGTTTTCTTTGAAACGACCCAAAAAGTCTTGTTCCATTCACTTTCCAACCGATTTTTCCGGAAACTTTTTGTAAGTGGTCAACAACCCATGTCTCTGAATTCGCGTTGGACACTGACATGGCAAGGGGAAAAATAAGCACAGTGGCGACTTTCCCAGTTGTAAAGTCTTCAACTGTTTTTAGTGTGTCTTCTTAGTTGTCAAAGGCAGGGGAATCGTTTCAATGCAGAATAAACAAAGTCAACCAGAAATTGACCCTTTTTTTATGTTCGCAACCGAATAAAAAAACATAAGAAAAAACAAGATGGGTCAACGACAGATTCAGTGTTCACTGTTCAGTGTTCACGGTATAGCTCTTGCCCTACACAAGAACCCATACTGGATATTCCCTCTGTTAACACATAAGAATGATGATTTCAGCACGATTTCTGTAACAGAGCTTAACTACGCCACTAGGTGCAATCATTCTTTGTCGCGTGCGATTATTTTACGTGATCTTATTATAACCCAAATTTTTGTTAAGCCCGGGCTTAATGGCTTAAAGGCAGCTACGCCACTGGTTTTATTCTTTACACAAAATGGTTGAATAGAACGTTGTGATTTAATGTGTGCATTGCATTTTTAAACAAGGAGGAAAGGGAAATGCTAAATTCTCAAGAAATAAGACATCCCATGACATTTTGTTTCAAAAATCGGACAAACTAGGTGTACTTATTCAAGACAGGTTGTTGAAGGAATAGTACGGTTTACATCAGTAACGAAAGACTACCCTCCACAGCCACCTTTTAGCATTCTTTCTTCTTGTCCTCCATACAGGCATATCATGATCATTTACGGAAACTGGGTTTATATGAAAGCTTACAAAACAAATGCAAAGGCAATGCATTTCCGGTTAAAAAAGGACGAAAGTAGGCAAGTTATCAAACATAAGTATCATTTCCGTGCCTGATTTGACAACACAAACACAAACCAAAGATCATCCCCATTATTTGAATGACGGCAATCCAGATTCCAAATCCACTAATCACATGAAGGTTGTTTAACAAATATTTTCGAACAAAATCATAGCATCCTTTAGTGTAAATTTTTGTAAGGTCTTGAGTTACATTCTTGTTACATGTATCATCTTTGGGGTCTTTGCAACAACTTTTTGGAACAGATCCCTTGTTATTTCTTCCCCATTTGGTGTTGAACCAGTCCTTATATTTATCATTTCCACAACACTTGAAACTTGCCTGAATTTCGTCGATTGCTCTGGTGACAGACTCGTAATCATGGTCTTTGTATCTGTTAAGAGTGTCTTTTATGTCTCCTCGCAAGTTTTTCTCGATTTGTTCTCTGTAAACGTAAGTGAGAACAATGGCTGTGATCTCTAGAACAAAAATAAGTGTAATAAATCCAAAGTAAGACCCCAGCATGCACTGGCTTTCTTTGATTGCTCCGCAACAGGCCAAGAAAGCTACTACAATGGTCACTACTCCGATGACAACACACAGAATCGGTGCAGCCTTGTAATTAACTGATCCTGTAAGCTTGGTGTAGTCCCCTGCTACTTCTTCCTTGTTGCTGAGCAGCCATGTGCCGAGACAAAACAGAGTACAGCCAGCAAGCCAAAATAACAAATTGAAGAAAACAACCAAGATTTTCAAGCACTTATATCCACAATCCCCTGACATGTTTGCGCCTGTGAAGTGATCTCTTACGAACAAATAATCGTGAGATCGTCCTTTTACTCTTAAGAGCGATAATCCTCCATTCCCATGAAGCAGAAAATCATTACAGTACTGCTTAATTCTTGTCTTGTCTGTGGCTTTGCCAAAACAGTATTTTTTCAGTTCAAATAATTAAAAGGGGAATTCTGTACTCCGTCTGAGTTATAATATACCTTCCGTTTTTCCTGATGAATATAACAAACAAGCGCGTTGAATTGCGGACCAAGGTACCTTCTCTTGTTTTTTAGGAGCAATCGCGGTTAAAATCAGTGTTGCTCGCTCCGACGACCTGAGAAAGAACCTTTTAAACCAGTCAATTTTTGGGGTTGTGAAATCAAAAGGAAGACTAGCCGTTCCACTTTGGCCTCGAAGCAATTTAACAACATTAACGCTCGGTTAGCGCAGAACATGGTCGAATAAGGACCATCAATAATTAAACGAATACAACGTGTCGAACACCCTCAAAACCTAAAACAACACCACCTGCATATGTGACAGAAATTCAACGACTAGACGCTTCAAGTTACGCAACAAAAGGGCTTCTTGTAAAAAGATACGTTTTAAACCTATTTCTGTGGTTTAAGTGGCAAAGTTGCTTTGCCTCACCACACCAAAATTACGAGCTTTCGTCCGCCATAACGGAAGGTGCGAAAGTGCTGGGTACGAGTATTGTTTCCAGTCCTCTCGCATTCTCTCCATCAAAATGGCGGCAATATTGCTTCAGTTGTGTATGTTTGCCTTGGTGATGAGGAATGGCGCTTTTGCCAGTAACAACTTTGCCAATTTGTGTAAGTTCAGATCATTTGGTTAGTTAAAAGTATATGGCAAACAAGGGAGCCATCTTTGTTGGGTATGTCCTTTTGTAACTGGTCGTAATTTTGCTCTTATTGCAACTTGACAGCTTCTTCTGCAGGGAAATGGAATGTTAGTGCAATTGACGAGTTAATGGTTTCTAAAGAGGATCTTGAAAAGCAAGTGAAAAATTACACAGCAAAGTGGCCTTTTTGCGTGTTTTACAGAGATACACGTAAGTTAATTTCTGTCCACCGATTACATTAAATCGTAGGCTAAGTTAACAATGTTTTGGTGCTAGGGGGTGTAGGGGTGGGGGCGTGGGGAGCTGGACATTGGAGTTGGAGTTGGGTACGGGAGAAGTGCTTCTCAGGGTTTTAGGAGTAGCTTCGAATGGGGTGATAAATTAAAATCCGGGAAAATTCTCAGGCAGGGATTGACTGAGGCATAAGAAAACACCTCATACCCAAGCAATCTACTAAAATCTGTTTTGGAAAAATAAGCTTCCCTTCGTGCTTGAGCTTTTCCCATTCTTAATCTGAAAAAAATGTTTTCCCATTATGTTTGGTCACAAGAATAATAATAGCCCCCCTCTGATGGAAACATTTAAAATAATCGTCTCCCTCGAATAATCGGCCCCCACTCTACACACCACTATGGGCGCGATCCATTCAACCAAACTTTCCGGAAATTTCGGTCCAAAACCCAATGGATCGGTTCGGTCCAACCGGAAAAGTTTCGAAAAAACGGGTCCACCTTTTGAGGTGGTCCTCTTTTCCCGGTCGGACCGGTTGGAATTTTGGTTGAATGGATCGCGCCCTATATGTCCCCCGCTATCGATACCCATAGTGCTAAATCTGAAGGATGATCCACATGGTCTTGCAAAACTGATCAGTGATGTAGCCGAGGATATTGATTATGAAAATAAATCAAGGAACCAAATTTGGAACACTTAAAAAGCCCATGTTCAGTTTCTTTGAAGAGATTATTTTTTGATTTAATGGGAAAATAGAACAAAACATTTAGGGCACGACTTCCACAACTTATAATTATATGAAATAATCGCCTCCCTCAAATAATTGCCTTCCCTCAAATATTCGCCCCCTTTTGGTGCAAAAATAATAAATAATCGTTCCCGGCCATTATTTGAGGAAATATGGTAATTTTAATATTTCTTTTTTTCAGAAACTCGTTCTTCCAAGCTGGAGGAGTGTCTTATTAAGTTCCTTAATAGTTTGCCTGCCAACAACTTTTTACAGAACTGGACAATTGTGACATTCAACCTTAATAAGGTATGTTGTGTGATATCGAAGATGATAGTTAGAGTGATTTTACTTGAAACTGTGAAACAAATACTAACAAATACTGAAAAATAGCAAGAAGTAAACAAAAGAAGACAATGGAATTAGTGCATAATAGTCTGAAGTACTTATTCTATTACATGTACCTATTTCATGGGTCAAGTAAAATCACTCTGTGATGGTCATGGTAAAATTTAAGTCACCAAAATAAGTAGTAACATTTGGATGTAAAGGGAACTTCTTCAAAGGAACTCATGTTTTTATACCCTAGTAGAGCAGGAAGTTTAAAGTGTAAATATTAGAAAATATATTAGAAAATATCTGTCTCTTCGAAAGAATAAAAAAACATGGAAACTTCTTTAAAACATGGCTTTGCCCCAATTTGTCTTGCTGCCCAAAAAATCTGAGTTGCCCATAATTTTGGGGGGGGAGAGGGCTGTGCCTCCCACCCCCCCTCCCCCAAAGCCAGTACACTTATGGGAATCATGCATTAGAGTACAATGATGCTAATACATCCATGCCAGTTTGTACATGTGCTATAATGACCTGATTCTTGCTAACCTGTGATCAGGCTGTCCTTCTTTCCTTTTTGTTTAGAAGGCCAGAAGTGAAAGGGTGCCTGATACATTTACTTTACTCATCATCTGCCCGTAGCCCTAAATCTATACTTTTGTCTGATTCATGGAAACACAAAAGAGCCTTCAGAGCCCTGCACCGATTGGTTGTTACATATCCCCTTATTTTGCAATTTTAGTCTAGGTGAGCTCAGCCTTTATTGAAACCTATTATAATTATAATCAGCCTAAAGTACTGGTATGAGTACAGTGAATTTACAAAGTCAATTATTCCTTTCTTTTTGTAGGGAATGTTAGTATGGGAAGGTCACCCTGGAAAAGTTCCTATTCTACACTGTCACATATGGACAGCTGAATCACCTTTGATTTATCCATCACCTAACCACTCTCACATTAAAATCAGTTCACTGCAGGCTTGGTTTAAATATGTGGTATGTTATAATAATGCAAAAGGGACTAGTGGACAAAAGAAGGGGTTGAGAGTATTTAAAATCAGAGAGAGATTGGTGTGCACATGTGTTTTGTTTATTCTGCCACAACAATCATGAATTCTTTCTACTTGTTGGGTGGCTGCCTTCTGATTTTATTTTATAGGCTTAGTCTAAGATACATGTAAGGAATGAATAATGGCACAATTAATAAAATTATGTAGAGGTCCTAGATGCGAACAAGATATTCCAGGTGCCGTACTCTCCTAATTTGGATTGTGGGTTTGCTGAGTTCTGCATTGTCGTTGTTTGAAAAACTTTGTTTTTTAAGTCAAATTTCCCCATTTCATTTTTAACTTCCTTACCACTCCTGTAGCAAGTTAACATGCATCTAGTTTATGACTCATGGCCTACTGTATATGTGCCAGTGTCAGGGACTGTTGAATATCCAACTGAAGAGAGTTGTTTGGATCTCTTTTAACATGCTGTGGATAGCAGAAGGAGGTGCAGGGATAAAATCTTCTTTGCCCCCCCCCCCCCCCCCCCTTAGGTAAAAAAAAAAAAAACAAACCCAAAAGGGGTAAAAATAAAAAAAATTATTAATATTAAAAACACCCCCACTCTCAAAAAAACAAAAAAGTGGTCTCTTTTTTTTTTTTTTTTTTTTTTTCTTTTTTTTTTTTTTTTTTATTTTTTTGTTTGAGATTTTTTTTTTATAAATTTTATATTTTTTAATTTTTTTTTT